CTGTCCTGATATCCAGAAGCTCTTTTTGGTCATAAGAGACGGTGGCAGAAACATTATGTACAGAATAAATTACAAATAACTTGACAAGTCGTTTACAATTTTTGACAAATCATAAAGCAAATAAAATGTTATCACCTCACAGACCATCACCCCAAATACAAGCCTACTGCCTAGACTAACCGTAGCGTGAAAGCTAAACAGGGATGAAACCATTTAGGGGGGTTTGTGGGCGGGTTCATTTAATTTGTGGGGGGTTTTCAAGTCCATGGTGGGTAGAAATGGGAGAAGGTATCGTGGGGGGATAGGATGCAGGAAATATTACTATGATGGGGGATTTATCAATAAATGGGGGGCAAACACAGGAGAAGTTTATACACTAAATAAAAATAAAACCCCTGGAAAGGGGGGTCTGAGCTGGAAACCCTGAGGTACCATAGTTACAATCTGATGCCGCGTTCAAAACAACTGGGAACTTGGAAATCTCCGACTTCCGACTTCAGTGTGTTCAAGACAACTGGGAACTCTGAAAAAAAACGAGCTCCGACTGGGAAAAATAGTTTTGAACGGTCATCCAACTCGGGAACTCGGGCCTCTTTCTAGCGCTCTGACCTGAAGATCACTGACGTCATGATTTGACCTCGTATTTTTCCCAGTTGTCTTGAAAGCACCATAATTCAGTCGAGTGAACTATGCCTTGTTATAACATCTTTGGTCTGACAGGCGCTTACGTGAAAACCAGAATGCGTTGTATGATGTCAGCAAACATGGCGCCACACATAGCTGGAAAATAGCTTAGCATTAGCTCATCATAATCAGTACAACCTTCAAAAATGTATTTTACACACATCATATGTGTCCATTACAATCTATGCAAGAATCGGAATGCATGACTTGTCACCAGTACTTGAAAACATGAATAAAACAGTAAATACATTATGATCCATACATACATACAGTATGTTACAGTAGAAACGACAACACGATATACAGAAAATTAGGCACTTACTTTGATAGGAATGCACACATGCCCAAAGACCAATTTGTAAGGAAAACAACTATGAAGGCAATGCGGGCGCCAACCAGAAAATGTGCTGGGGGAAAAGGTTTGTGTAAGGCCTGTTCTGACTAGAGATGCGCAATGTCTTCATACTTGATCTGGGGAAACACTGGGGAATTGCTTGAGCTCAGTAAAGCCTCAAACATAAATTGTCCGCAACAGTGAAATGGGCTACTTCTTATGTGAATTAATGAAGAGGCGCACCACACCTCAATTCAAACTGTTGTTAGAAAATACAACTTTGAAATTGACAAGTAGAAATATAGCCTATAGATAATTAGCAGGCAGCGTGCCTTGGTTTGAGAGCAGCGCGGAATAGCTGTCCTTTTGAGTAACAATCACATTTTGGAACAGTGAGCGCATTCTGACATCACACGCAAAAAAACTCACGCTGTGGCGAACGTTAGAGATATTTGGAACTCACGCGTGAAAAGGTTAAGGAAATGGACGCCTGGCTCAAATAGAAGCATGTGTCCAATAAGCGCCTGTTGTGTTCAGTGATTTAAGCAAATAAAAGCCCGGCTATTAATTGAAGTTTTACGGTATTTCACTAGAGAATGCATCCGAGCCAGGCAAACAGCGCCCCCTGTCTTAGTATCTGTAGTCCATGTATCTGATGCTGTCTGGCCAAAAATAATATGACATGTTGTATTATTTTTGTCCAGACAGCTTCAGATACATGGACTACACATACTAAAACAGATGGGGCGCTGTTTCGCTCGCTCGGATGCTTTCTCCGGTGAGATTGATGAGTCTTTCTGTCGGTGCGCATCTTGGTCAAAATTATCAATATATTCAGAGATTACCTAACAAATCTCAGAATTGTCCACTGCGGTGGCCAATCAGATTTCAGGGCGATTTCACCCCCTGGACACGCCACTGTTTCTCTCTCTCTCTCTCTCTCTCTCTCTCTCTCTCTCTCTCTCTCTCTCTCTCTCTCTCTCTCTCTCTCTCTCTCTCTTTCTCTCTCTCTCTCTCTGCACCTCAGCCCTACCTGTAATTGAAAAGATGAGAGAATTAATGAAATACAGCTAATGCCAGAGATCAAAAAGAGCTATCAAATTCAAATTAGCTGGGTATGAAATTGCTTCCAGTGGATGGCGGGAGAGACGTCTTTAAACAGTCACCCGCAGCTTCCACAAAATGGAATAACAATTTTCAGATGGAGGGATGGAGCGAGAGGGCCGTAAACGGATAATCCACATCCTCGTCGTTTCTTAGAGAGGCTGAACTCTTCCCCAGATTGTCATGTCTTTTTGCAACAAAGCGGCCCATACTGACATAGTGGAGCTTAATGTGGATGGGAGAAAGAAAGCCACCATTTTGAATGCATCATAAAGCTTTTCCTGTATTACTTCTGCATGTTGCGGTAGCGTGGGCGAACGCCCTGATTTGATACACTACTAGTAGGGAGGGAGTCGAGAACTGGCATTACACATATCTCAATCGGGTTCTCTCTTTCCTCTCTTTTTCTATCCCTCTCTCAATCCTCCCCCTTTCCCCTCCCCTCTCTTTCTCCCCCATCCTCTCTCTCTCTCTCTCTTCTCTCTCTCTCTCTCTCTCTCTCTCTCTCATTTCCAGCTTTCCCTCTGTTCCTCTCTATCCTGCATGTTATGTAATTTATTCTCAGCCCTCTGTGAATAACACTTTTATTCTGATTAACAATACCGAGCTCGTATGAATAATTTTCCATTTGCTAAGCAATCTGTTTCCATGTAAGGTGTCCTTGTCAGGTGAGGCAGAGGGAGAGAGGGAGAGAGGGAGGGAGGGAGGGAGAGAGAGGAGAGAGAGAGAGCGGAGTGAGGAGGGAGAGAGAGAGAGATAGGAGAGTGGAGAGATGAGAGAGAGAACGTGAGGGGAGAGAAGAGGAGGAGGGGAGATGGCGGAGAGGAGAGAGAGAGGAGGAGAGAGAGAGAGAGGAGAGAGAGAGAGAGAGAGAGAGGGAGAGGGAGAAAGTGGAGCGTTGTAGTGGGTTTGTTCTGTTGAATATGTATTGATCTGCCTGCTTCCGGGCCTTGGCTTGTTGCTTGTCTCTGTCTCTGTGTGTCACTCTGTGTTGAATAAGGCCAACAGATGGTCAACCCTGGAATTCCTCAATGCTTTCGCCTGGTCTCAGGCCAGATCCACCCTGCTGATCACACCTCCGACAAAATGTGTGGGGTGTGTGTGTCCGTGCGAGTGCATGTGTGTTGCATTTTGTGTGTGTGGGTGTATTTTATAATACTATGTTTGTGTGCGAGTGCCAACATTATCTCACGATTCCCCACCACACTGTTTTGATACACAGCTCCTGCGTTTGTTATAAAAATCTCTCCATTCACAACAGACACGTAGAGCTCCTGTGTCTTTTTATCAAACCTTTTCGAATTACAATAATTAAACCACACATCTGGCTCAAACGAAGACCCTGTGAATTTTAGTAATTGTTTTTTTCTGAATTAAATGAGCCGTGCTCCTGTTGAATTAAGCATCGCTCGTTGTCAGTTAAATATGCTCCTCTTAATTAACCATCCTGAGGTTTCCTGGAGAGAAAAGGCTTTTAGGACTGCTATATACAGGTAGAGAGGAATGGGGAGAATAGGAGGAGGAGAAAAAGGATAGAAGATGAAGAGTGATTTGTAGGAAAGAAACAATTGAATAAGAGGAGTAAGAAAAGGGACAGATAAAGGAGGGGTGATTTGATATTAAGGGCTACTTTCCATATGTAGAGAAAAAAACTAAGGAACAAGAGGAGTACAAATTAAAATTATGGAAATGGAGGGGATGATTTGTTTGGACTATTCAATTTACATTAATTTAGTAAATGTTTTTTCTTCCGTTCTTAGTTCTGGTCAGAGATGGAACAGAACAGTGCCATTTGGTTTAGATTTTGCACAATCCAATGCATGTCAATAGTACTCATATTAGCATTTAAGCGCTTCATGTCCAAATCATCCCAAAGTATCAAAAAATTTATTGTGTAACTCAATTAAGTTACTTATAGATGGTTTTGACATGAACTGCCAGAATGCTAATATATGGGTAACATTGACTTGAATTGGATTGTGCCACATAAGTCCGAATTTGAAACAGTGGCCAGATAAATTAAACCAAAGCAAGGAAATAATTAATTTTGTAATTTGGATGAACTATCCCTTTCAGCTGTACTTAGAGTTGAAGGAAACAACAACATTTTATTGAACCATTATTTTCCCATGACATTTCTTGGAATTCAAATTTGAAACATATAAAGAGCAAAAGAACACACACACACACACACACACACACACACACACACACACACACACACACACACACACACACACACACACAGTCTTGTACAGTTAACACACACACACACACAGTACTAGTCATCATCATCGGAGAGGTCCTTTTAAATTATCATCTGATTTACTGCCCTCACCTTCCCTGAACTATCGCTATAGATAAAATACTCATAGTGAACAGTAAAACGCTTTTAGAACAGGTGGGCTGTGGATGGAAAGAACACGCGCACGAACGCCCGCACACACACACACACACACACACACACACGTTAAGGCCTCTTATGGTCAGTGAAGTCTCTTGATGTGGTGTGTATGAGGGAGAACAGAGAGAAATTGTGCAACCTATACCTTCATGTGATGTGTTTCCGTGTCAAGGTGTGTGTGTGGGTGCATGTGTGTGCGCATGTGTGTGTGTGTCAAACATGCTAATGCATGGAGAAATGATCCCCTGTGTTTTCTGCTGTTCTCACGGGGAACCACAGGTTAATTTCACACAATCTGTCCACCTGCTATTACAGAGAGGGAAGAGAGTGAAGGGAGAGAGATTATGGGAGAACAAACAGGTAGAGAGGAAGATTTTATTCATCCAGGTTAGTCTCATTGAGATACAACCTCTTTTTTCCACGAGAGACCTTGATGAAAGGGAAGGAAAGGGAAAAAGGTTGCGGGAAGATGTGATGGGAAAAGGAGGTGAGGGGGAACAGGCAGAGAAGGGTAGAAAATGAGGTGGTTGCTTAAAGGTGCCAAAGGGAGGAGCGAGTCACTGGAGCATAATGAGAAATGCAGCAGGGCCCTAGACTCAAGAATCTGCACAGAGCGAGAGAGAGAGGGGGAGCGAGAACAGAGGGATAGATAGGAAGGAGAAGAGAGAGTCATTGGAGAGAGATGCTAATGTCAAATCAAATCAAATTTGATTTGTCACATAGACGTGTTTAGCAGATGTTGTTGCGGGTGTAGCGAAATGCTTGTGCTTCTAGCTCCGACAGTGCAGTAATATCTAACAAGTAATATCTAACAATTTCACAACATATACCCAATGCACACAAATCTAAGTAAGGATATAGGATATTATTCGCTGAAGCTCCTCAATGCATTAAATCCTCTCCCTAGCCATGACTTCACCAGCAAGATAGAGGAAGATGGATACGGAAGAGCACAAAGTGATGCTCTAAACTCTGATTCATAGTTACTGCTCTGCCCAAAGAGCCTTAATCCAGGGAAAATGCTCAGCAAATTTGTAATAAATCATTTTGTCACTAGATTATTTATGGGCAATGACTTATTCATCACAGATTCACTTTTTAACTAAAACCATTACTGTGGTGTCACTGAAGCCAGTCATTTCATTAATGTTTTATTTAAAACCATTATTCATTAATCAGGGTTATTGTAGTCGTTTATCACAGTCTGTGGTGGGCTGACAGTTTTAGTCAGTCAGTAGACCCCACTAGACACCAATTTAGTCTTTCAGTAGAACTCTTGAGGTTTTAAATGACGTGTCTTTAATCCAGTGAAGCAGAAATCCAGTGTTTGAAGGTTAAGAGTTGACCTGTCTGGTTTTAGGCTACAGACAGGCTGGTTTTTAGCTTCACTGTTCCATCAGCTGTTTTAGACTTGGGAATCCAGTCCAGAGAACTCTCCGACCGATCAATAAGTTAAATCAATAAGGATTTACGTTAAAGCAAAGTTGAGACGGTTCAAATGTATGGACCTGAGCCTCTTTTTCAAAATGAGACTTTTTTAAAAGGAGACATTTTGAGAAGCATTACCACCCGGGTGGCGGTGCAGTTCATTTCTCTCCCCTAAAACAAAGCAAGATATAGTGGAGCCATAACTTCTTGCTTCTGCCATTTCTTCTTCTCCGACACTTTTACGGATGACCCCTGCCAGGGTTCATCCAGTCTCATAATAGTTTTATCCCTACCGCTTAATTTTCACCATGTGTTATCTGTCAGAAGTCTATGTAGTCAGTGAGGCAGTTCTCCCCTGTCTGTCTGTCTGTCTGTCTGTCTGTCTGTCTGTCTGTCTGTCTGCCTGTCTGTATTTTAGCTCCTATGGGCAAAGCTGTGTGGTCCCCCTGGCTTCCCTATGGTTTCATATTACCCATGCACACAGATAAGGCTTGTTTGGGCTATGGAGAAGTGGATGGGGGACAGGGAGAGATGGAGGGAGGTGGTATGAAACTCTGAAAGTTAAACTAAACTTTGTTTGAACTGAGCAGATGTCATCTGGGTTGTGGTGGGGGGGTTTCTATTACAGACTGACTGATATATCTTTGTCCTTCCTCTCTCTCATACAGCTAACATGAGATGATACGGCCTCTCGTTATGTATGTCTCTCATTAAAACAAGCTTGTATAATAATAATAATAATATGCCATTTAGCAGGCGCTTTTATCCAAAGCGACTTACAGTCATGTGTGCATACATTCTTACGTATGGGTGGTCCCGGGGATCGAACCCACTGTGTATTCCCCAAGCTGGTATCCCTGTCTCCACTCTCTTTCTGTCCCTTCCCTACCACTCAGTAATGGAGACAGCCTCTTAGCTCAGGGTGGGTTCCCCCTGCTCTGCTCATTAAGTATTGATAATGGATGAGCTCTAACATCTGGTGTGACTCGCTGGTCTAGCCGAGTATTTAGTTAAAACAACACCTGCATTAATTAATAATTGATCACAGGAGCCTATCAGGAGAGGCGTTAGGAGGTGCGGTGATATCTGTGATGTCAGGTTGCCTGGCCGACCTGGAGATAAGATGGGGGGGGGGGGGGGGGGGGGGGGGGTAGTGTTTGCTTGGCTAATCAGCTTGTGATTGGCTAAGTGAGGTGGACCATTGATGTAATAGCTTTGAACCAACTTGTGCAAATTTATGTTTCTACATGGAAGTCTATTTATTAGAATGCAAGTGAAAACTGTCTTTTTCTTCAGACTCTAGTGTGCTGTTTCACCCATCACAAGATAATGGATGTAGCCTCGAGGAGAGTACATTTAATAAAGAATGTTGTTTATTGTTTGGTGACAAAGCTGTGTGCCAAAGTACAATGTCTAACACAATGGTTTATTTACTTTGCTGCCGTATAACAACTGGAGAAATGCTAACTCACGATGCAATAGTTTTCTCTGTCAACGTCCCTGCTTAAACATTCATAGAAGGCCATATGGTTAGAGCATCCAATATGTATATCAGACTTCTGGTAAATACATTTATAAAATACTTTTGAATACTTGAGTTGCATTTTATTTAGTTTGCCTAGTACAATAGAACCAGTGGAATAGTCCTAAAACTTCAAGCTTAATCTAGCACTGTATATATTAACCAGGTCTAATTAATATATTAACTGATGCTTAAGGTAAATGTATAGTTTCACTCTTGCTCAACCTGATAGTTAACCTATTGTGAGGTCAAATGACCCTCTCCTGGACCTGCCCTATCAGCTCTGGACCTGAGCTATGCATTCACATTACCAGCCCTAACACATAATGCCATTTTCACTATGGAATGGATTCCTTTTGAGGAAATGAGGCCTGAAGACGCTGTAGCCGCTGTATTCATAGGATGAAAGACGGAAGCCATTTTGTGCCGACCGGGGCCTAATTGAGTATGCAGAGCACATGTTGTAGCCCAGAGCTGGAGACAGCTAACACTGGCTGGCTCTGATACATTCTGCCTGGCCTTGGCTAAACCCACACACTCCCCAGCTTCACTTCACTTAGCAGACAGAGAGCTAATTGAAGATGATCTCACAGATAAGTGCTCGACTGCACTCTTTTTTCCCCTTCCCTTTTCTTCCCTCCTCCCCACCTTATTTATTTCATTCTCGCTAGCCTTTCACTCTCTCTCTTTTCTTTTCTTTTATTCTCTCTCTCGTCCTCTGTCTTTATCACATCATTTCACTCCCTTCACTCTGTCCTGTCTCTCTTTTCTTTTGTCTCAATCTCTCTCTGTCCTCTGTCTTTCGCTCTCTCTTTCCTTTTTTCTCAGCTGCGAAGGCAGTGATACCTTCTCCCCTCTCTAGTCTCTCTCTCTCTCTCTCTCTCTCTCTCTCTCTCTCTCTCTCTCTTTCTCTCTTTCTCTCACTCTCTCATTCTCTCTCTCTCTCACGCTCTCACTCACTCTCTCTCTCGCTCACTCCTTTTTTCTCTCCTACCTTTTGTCGAATTTAAAACATAACAGGTCTGCCATTTCATAAGAAATACCAATTCCAGTGGTGAGATTAGGCTTCTGATGATGTTTGACAATAGCTGTGCATGACACTCCAATTGTTATATTTGATGGTCACACTGCCCTGAAACCCAGTCTATCCCATATCTCCTCAGTGTTATTGGTGTCTGTAATGGTCTTTTTTGATGTACCTCACTAAGTGTGTGCTGGTGGTGCTTTTATTGTGTCTTGAGTACATTGTTAAATGTCCTAGGTATCTGGAGAGTCTTCGTACAAATGAAATACTCTCTCTCGGTTCTCTGTTGTGCGTTCTATATTAGGTTCTAACCCCTCTCTCCTTTTTCTCTTTGGTTTATCTTTATCATTGGGTTCTAACACCTGTTCTCCGCTCTCTTTTCCATTGCAGCACGGGAGGAGAACGTGGCCACGTTCCGCGGCTCCGAGTACTTCTGCTACGACCTGTCCCAGAACCCCATCCAGAGCAGCAGCGACGAGATCACACTCTCCTTCAAGACGTGGCAGCGCAACGGCCTGATCCTCCACACGGGGAAGTCGGCCGACTACGTCAACCTGGCCCTGAAGGACGGGGCGGTGAGCCTGGTCATCAACCTGGGGTCGGGGGCCTTCGAGGCCATCGTGGAGCCCGTCAACGGGAAGTTCAACGACAACGCCTGGCACGATGTCAAGGTTACGCGCAACCTGAGACAGGTAATAGTGGCTAGGGAGGGTGAGAGCGGACAGCACTGTGGTGCTAACACATAGCATGTGTACAAACATGCAAATATATTCATGACATTCAGGTCAGCTGATACTGTAGGATAGGTGAAAGACCTGTATATTTTGTTCATGTCTTAAATGGATTCGACAGTTCACAAAAAAAAAAAAATTCAGTTAAACATTCTCCAGTTTTTTTAAGTTTTTTGGTCCGTTTCATAAATGAAATAGTTCACAGGAATTTCTACTGTTTTTGTCAATTTAGTTTTTTTCAAGACTGTCTCTATTTTTACCCCAATGACTTACTATTTCCTAAAGACATTGTTTATTTCACGCCTACTTTTACCTACTTTCCCCTATACACCAATTTCCGGTCTGATTTTCTTCGGTCCACTGTTTGCCTCCGTGAGCAGAACCGCTACAATTCTCTCTCTCTCTCTCTCTCTCTCTCTCTCTCTCTCTCTCTCTCTCTCTCTCTCTCTCTCTCTCTCTCTCTCTCTCTCTCTCGCTCTCTCGCTCTCTCTCTCTCTCTCTCTCTCTCTCTCTCTCTCTATCTCTCTTCTCTCTCTCTCTCTCTCTCTCTCTCTCTCTCTCTCTCTCTCTCTCTCTCTCTCTCTCCCCTCTTCCTCCTTCCCGTCTTATCGTGGGGGCTGGCAGGGAGAAGCTCCAGCCAACCACGACGACACCTGTTTACCCCAGACTGATCTCTGTTCAGCTGTAAAATCGGCCACAAACCCACATTCTGAAATATTCTAATAGTCAAGGTCCTGTTCCCTTTCAGCTCCTCAGTGAGAGTTGATGGAGGAAGGTTTCTGGCTCTAGTCAAGGGCGCAAAAGATAGACTAGGATTTCAACTATGTAAGGAATTGTAGTAATGGTTTTCTTTAAGTTATTATAATATATTACAAATTATATTTAGATTTTTTGTAAAATACATTAATGGCAAATGTTGTCTCTGACATTTCATTGGAAACGTTTTCATATTACTACTATAGTAGTGTTTTTTTTATTTGATCTCTACTCAGCTTAGGAGAAAGCTCAAAGCTCAAACAGCTTTGTGGAAGGTGCTATGTGAAATCTAGCTACTTATATTACATACAGCTAATTACGCAATCTGGGAAGGCCATGTCTTTTAAAGGAGCATTATCTCATCGGAAAGTCAAGCAGCTCTTTGGAATCTAAAGCAGGTTGATATTCTATGTAAGTATGTATGTTATGTCACCACTCCATCGAGGTCAATTCAAGGTTCATCCCTATACTTATGGAATACTCTGGATTTACAAATTGAGTTATATGCCATAGAATATTTCCCTTTTTCTCTTTTACCCTCTTTAGCTCTCTATTTATTTTCTTAATTCTTTATCTCTCTCTCTCAATCACACCCTCTCTCTTTTCTCCCTGAGAACAAGCTTTTGTAGAAAATCAGAACTAACCACTCATGGAATGAATCATTGTCCTACTAACCGTTGCCTAACCAGCTATTGTACTAACAACACCCTAACTCTTCATCATTGTTTATTAATTTATTTCATTTAATTTTTTATTAACAACCCCTCTGTTCACTATTTAATTTCCTTTCTTCCCCTTTTCCTCAAAGCAATCAGGCATTGGACACGCTATGGTAAACAAACTCCATTGTCTGGTAGATATCATTCCTATTTTCCTTTTTTTGGGGTTTGCCGTGTGCTCCTTCCTTCCTTCCGTCCCGTCTTCCTTTTTTCTTTGACTCTTCATTCTAGACACCATTGTCAAAAAATTAGGAAATGGGGTTGGTATATCTTGGCTTTCTTTATATTGGATTCCCTCCCTCTATCGTTCATGATTTGATTCTATCGTTCATCTTCCTTTTCTGCTTTTCTTTCTACAACTTCTTCCTCTCTTCCAAAGCCCTCCAGATCAAGTCTTTCTTTAGGGCTTACTGTTTGACTAAAACCTCCTTTGCATTCCCTATGTTTTGGCCGATGACTGTCGACCAAACTGCCAGAAGCTTTCCACAACTACAACTACAAAAAAAGAGGAAAGAAAAACCAAAAGTTCACCAATGGGAGCTCTGACAGTTGTTTCCAGTACACAGTGGCGCATGGCATGCCTAAACTTCTCCCTCCTTCCCTTCCATTGCTTTCACCAATAACCTGCCTAACTAACACCTAACTCACCTGCCATTCACGCTGTCATTTGTGTGTGGTGAATGTTTGTAGAAGTGGTGATTGTGATGCTACACCTCCCTTGAAAACCCCCTCTCATGGCTTTTGGTGTGGTCTGACTGTGTAGTGATTGGCCTTTGGCATGTTCCATCCAGCTGACTTAGAGGATATACCTTGATTTGTATTAGCACCCAATTCACTCAACTCATCTTGTTATTAAGCATAAAAACTAACTCCAACATGGCAATGATACTCATGGCTTGTTCATATGTAGAATTAGCAGAACATCCCTATTTTGCATGCTTGTCAATGTCTCAACTATCCAGATATCAACTCAAACTAAAACAAGCACAATCAATTTGTCCTTGGTGTTGTTGGCATCCTACTAACCCTACAAATCTAACCAAATGCCAAATCCACAAAGAAACCTCATTTACTAACTTGCATCAAAGTTAAAGAAAATATACCGCTGACATATTTTCTTTATCTGCCCTGGTTGAGCGTAAGAGTTGAAGTACATGACAGAAACACAGAGGAATCCAATGACATGGTCCAGGTTTTGGGACTGGGCCACACACTTGAAGACATTACACTAGCAAGCAATACTGAGACACAATATCAAGACAAAAAACAGATAAACCTAGTCCCTGTTAGATTAACCTAGGCATAAAACTCCGCCCACACCCCCGACCCCCGTACCCTCCTTTCTCCCCCAAACCCAAGATGGTCATGAGTGGACTTTCTCCTTCTTGGTTCTTCCCGTTGTCTAGGTGACGATATCGGTTGACGGTATCCTGACGACCACGGGGTATACCCAGGAGGACTACACCATGCTGGGCTCAGATGACTTCTTCTACGTGGGTGGAAGCCCCAGCACCGCTGACCTGCCTGGGTCTCCTGTCAGCAACAACTTCATGGGCTGCCTCAAAGAGGTGACACTGCTGCAATATGTACATTTACATTAAAGTGGAACTAACAGCGTTTTAACTACTTTGCAGATATGAAACAAACAGATAATCATAATATCAGTCAAAAATATCAAATTCCCAGTTTATGCTTCAAAACCAACTTCATAAGAGGTTTTAAAAATAGGTTTTATTTGACTCAAAATGTCATGACTTACGGTAAGGCATTGTTGGGAGAATAGATGGATGCAGTTCAATGCATTCGGAAAGTACTCAGACCCCTTGACTTTTTCCAAATTTTGTTACGTTACAGCTTATTCTAAAATTGATTAAATAAATACAAATCCTCATCAATCTACACACAATACCCCATAATGACAAAGCAAAAACTGGTTTTTAGACATTTTGCAAATGTAGTAAAATAAAAAACAGATACCTCATTTACATAAGCATTCAGCTTGAGCTCAGGTACATCCTGTTTCCATTGATCATCCTTGAGATGTTTCTACAACTTGATTGGAGTCCACCTGTGGTAAATTCAATTGATTGGACATGATTTGGAAAGGTACACACCTGTCTATATAAGGTCCCACAGTTGACAGTGCATGTCAGAGCAAAAACCAAGCCATGAGGTCGAAGGAATTGTCCGTAGAGCTCCGAGACAGGGTTGTGTTGAGGCACAGATCTGGGGGAGGGTACCAAAACATTTCTGCAGCTATGAAGATCCCCAAGAACACAGTGGCCTCCATCATTCTTAAATGGAAGAAGTTTGGACCCACCAAGACTCTTCCTAGAGCTGGCCGCCCGGCCAAACTGAGCAATCGGGGGAGAAGGGCCTTGGTCAGGGAGGTGACCAATAACCTGGTGGTCACTCTGACAGAGCTCCAGAGTTGGTTTGCTAGCAAGACATTTTAATTGCTTTGCTAGCTAGCTAGCTAGCTATGCTGAACTTGAACGACTGTTATCCACAGTTAGCATATCTCTTAGTTGTCAACAGTGCTTGACTTGGGCAGGAGCTCACTGGAGCTGATTACCAGCACCTCAAATGTTCTACTGCTTGAGCTCCTGCACCTCTATAGAATATTAGCTCAAAAGTATTGTGGAGCTCCTGCACCTAAATATAAACAGTACCAGCACCCAAAATGAGTACTGGCACCTATTTCAGTCCAAATCAAGCACTGGCTGTCAATCAAATGTATTTGGGATCGATCAAATGTGCGGGCAGGCAGGCAAGTTCCCATTCAGTTGTCAAAACGTGGGTTGGAACAAGCATGCATTGGCAGACAAGCTGCAGAAGGACGAGCAGACTACTATTCCCCATCGTTTCAGTGCAATTTTGACGGCCAACTAGCTGAAAAAGTTGAGAGGGTTTATCTAATGTTCCCTCGTTAGATTTTAGCTTATCTCGCTCTGGCTAGCGTTAGTTGTTGGTCTTGTTGTCGTAGATGTGCATAGGCAAATGAGGGAGAGATAGCCTACCTTTTAATGGTTGTTTGATCAATTGGACTGTGAAATTCCCAAATGTAAGAGGAGAAATCCATTCAGGTGTATTTTGGGGCTTTTGGCAAATGCGTTCTAATGATCTAAAGTCGCGCTGTTGCTACTGCCTGTAAACACACAGTCCAGTTCAAAGTGAATGATGGCAGGCCAGTGTGGCAAATGGCTTACTAGGACCAACTTGTCCAGTGGGTTACTTTTCAAGCTTGGGTTGAAAGTTTGGGAACCGCTACTACAGTACTGTGTGTTCGCTAAAATGTGTTGAATATCATAGGTTACTTGTAAAGAAAGTATCTTGCAATGTGTATTATGCTCTGTGGATCATATGAAATCAGGACTAAATTCAATAAAGCCCATCTGTTTTTTTTAAGAATGGAGAGATCAGAGCTTTCAGTATCTTCTGAGAGCCATCTGATCCAATTCACAGTGGTTATTCATTTTCACCCGACATAAAATTGTTGCAGGCGTATTTAATTTTGTTTTTCAATTGTTGGTAAATCATTTGATTACGGCTGCAGACGTCTAGCAGTTGCCTGGATGCAGAGGCTCAGGTGAAGTGAAGGGATGGGATTCGTTGACTATGCAGCTGGGTTTATATCTAACAGTAGAGTAGGAAGCAAAGAGACAGTCTGAAAACAGTCTGTTTGTTCCATTGGGTCTGTTCTGCTCAGAGATGTTTTGATTAAGCCAATTTTGAACAGCGCCACATTTGCCCTCTGTGCACACACACAGAAACACACACACACAGTTCCCTGGAGCTGGTGATGTCATCTTTTAGCGCTTGGCTGGAGCCGGTTGCTGCAGTGTGGCAATATGGTCCTATATCTCTCTCTGGAGCTGTTCCCTACTGGTAAACACACACAAACACACACAAACACACACACACACACACAAAATACACACTTTCACCCCCTGCCTAAACACATGTTCCCACACCCCCTGCCATCTCCTCTCCACCTCTCCATCAGAGCGTCATGTAGCCCAGGAGAACAGGGGAAGTGTGTAGCAGCCATATTATCTCCCTTGCCCTACTTCCTGCTCTGTGCCATGCTGGGCAGGTCTGCCCATACTGGCCCAATCACCACTGTATCACTGGGCCCACTAGCTCACCAACACCATGATACACGCGTACATGTATGAACACGCATGTACTTACACAAATGTTCACACACTTTCGCTGGTCCTAGGGAAGTCATTGTTCCCTCATTGTTGATCAAAATGCATTTAGTCCCTTTTCCTTTCAGTCCATCTCCTCTCAATACATGGGTGAACGACACGTGCGCGGCACTGGTGAGAATAGCAGACGTTTTACGGGCTCCTGACCAATTGTGCTATTTTGTGTCTTTTTTTGTACATAATGTTTCCACCATCGTTTCCTATGGCTGAAAAGAGCTTCTGGACATCTGAACAGCTATCACTAACCTCGATTTGGACAAGGACTTCTACTTCAATGAGTCGGAGGCAAAAGACATACTGATTATCCCGGACCAGGCCCAAATCTCCAACACTATAGAGGCCGGCGTGCGGAATACCTGATGAGACTACGTCGAAGAGTGGATAAATCGCCTCTACACTCAGTTCTATTGGCAAACGTGCAATCACTGGAGAATAAACTGGATGAGCTCCGTTCGAGACTATCCTATCAACGTGATATGAAGAACTGTAATACCCTATGTTTCTCAGAGTCGTGGCTGAACAAGGATATGGTAAATATAAATCTAGCTGTTTTTTCTATACATCGGCAGGACAGAACGGTTGCGTCGGGGAAGCTCAGGGGAGGTGGTGTGTGTCTCTTTGTTAACAACAACTTGTGCGCAATCTCTAATATTAAGGAAGCCTCGAGTTTCTGCTCACCTGAGGTAGATTACCTCATGATAAACTGTAGACCATACTGTTTACCAAGAGTTTTCATGTATGTTTTTTGTAGCTGTCTATTTACCACCACAAACCATGCTGGCACTAAGACCGCACTCAATGAGCAATATAGGGCCAAACAAGAAAATGCTCACCAAGAGGTGGGGCTCCTAGTAGCCGGTGACTTTAATACAGGAAAACTGAAATCCGTTGTACATAATTTCTACCAGCATGTCACCTGTGCAACTAGAGGTGAAAATACTCTAGATCACCTTTACTCTGCACACAGAGACGCATACACAGTTCTCCCTCACCCTCCATTTGGCAAATCTGACCCATAACTTTAACTTCCTGATTCCTGCTTACAAGCAAAATCTCCAACAGGAAGTACCAGTGACACACTCAATATGGAAGTGGTCCGATGAAGCGGATGCAGGACTGTTTCATTAGCACAGACTGGAATATGTTCCGGGATTCATCCGATGACATTGAGGAGTTTACCACATCAGTCACCCGCTTCATTAATAGGTGCATTGATGACGTCATCCCCACAGTGAAGGTACGTACATATCCCAACCAGAAGCCATGGATTAGAGGCAACATCCACACTGAGCTAAAGGCTTGAGCTGCCGCTTTCAAGGAGCGGGACACTAATCCGGATGCTTATAAGAAATCGCAGGAACGCCCTCCGACGAACCATCAAAAAGGAAAAACATCAGTACAGGACCAAGATCGAATCCTACTACACCAGCTCTGACGCTCGTCGGATGTAGCAGGGTTTGCAAACTAGCACAGATTACAAAGGGAAACCCAGTCACGAGCTGTCCAGTGACATGAGCCTACCAAATGAGCTAAATACCTTCTATACCCTCTCGCTTTGAGGCTAGCAACACTGAACCATGCATGAGAGCACAAGCTGTTGTGGACGACTCTGTGATCACGCTCTCCGTAGCCGATGTGAGTAAGACCTTTAAACAGGTTAACATTCACAAGGCCGCAGGGCCAGACGGACTACAATGACACGTACTCAGACCATGCGCTGACCAGCTGGCAAGTGTCTTCACTGACATTTACAACCTCTCCCTGACCCAGCCTGTAATACCTACATGTTTCAAGCAGACCACCATAGTCCCTGTGCCCATGAATGCCAAGGTAACCTGTCTAAATGACTGTCGCCCTGTAGCACTCACATGAAAGGCTTTGAAAGGCTGGCCTGGCTCACATCAACACCATCATCCCAGACACCCTGGACCCACTCCAATTCGCATAACGCCCCAACAGATCCACAGATGATGCAATCTCTATTGCACTCCACACTGCACTTTCCCATCTAGACAAAAGGAACACCTACGTAAGAATGCTGTACATTGACTACAGCTCAGCATTCAATGCCATAGTGCCCTCCAAGCTCATCACTAAGGTAAGGACCCTGGGATTAAATACCTCCCTCTGCAACTGGATCCTGGACTTCCTGATAGGCCAGCCCCAGTTGGTGAGGGTAGGCAACAACACATCCGCCACGCTGACCCTCAACATGGGGACCTCTCAGGAGTGTGTGCTTAGTCCCCTCCTGTACTCCCTGTTCACCCACAACTGTGTGGCCGTGCACGACTCCAACACCATCATTAAGTTTGCCGGCAACACGACGGTGGTAGGCCTGATCACCGGCGGTAATGAAACAGCCTACAGGGAGGAGGTCAGAGAACTAGCAGTGTGGTGCCAGGACAACCACCACTCCCTCAACATCAGCAAGACAAAGGAGCTGATCGTGGACTACAGGAAACAGAGGGCCGAGCACGCCCCCATCCACATCGACGAGGCTGTAGTGGAGCAGGTCGAGAGCTTCAAGTTCCTCGGTGTCCACATCACTAAGGAACTATCATGGTCCACACACCTACACAGTCATGAAGAGGGCACGACAACGCCTCTTCCCCCTCAGGAGGCTGAAAAGATTTGGCATGGGCCCTCAGATCCTCAAAAAGTTATACAGCTGCAGCATTGAGAGCATCTTGACTAGCTGCATCACCACTTGGTATGGCAACTGCTTGGCATCCGATCGCAAGGCGCTACAGAGGGTAAGGCGATCGCAAGGCGCTACTTGCCATCCAGGATCTTTATCCCTACCTATACTTACATATCTACCTCAATTATCTCGTATCCCCGCACATCGATTCGGTACTGGTACCCGTGTATATAGCCAAGTTATGGTTACTCGTGTATTTATTCCTTGTGTTATTATTTTTCTATTTTTCAGTTATTTCTAATTTGTTTCTCTCTGCATTGTTGGGAAGGGCCCGTAAGTAAGCATTTCACTATTAGTCTACACCAGTTGTTTACGAAGCATGTGACAAATACATTTGATTTGACACGCGCAAACACACGCACACACATGCAAACCCGCACGTACACAGAAACACTGCTATCCTCCACACTGCACTCCCTGCCATTAACACTAATTTGCCTGCTGGCGATGCTCTTGTCCGTGCCATCAAATGCTATTATGGATAAATGTTTTGTTACCATGGCACCAGGTAGGCCCCCACATCTCCCGCTATTCAAACACACACACACACACACACACACACACACACACACACACACACACACACACACACACACACACACACACACTGAAGCGTGACTTGGTAGCTTTTGGTAGTCGATTATTGTGGACATAATATCAGTCTTTATCCTCCATAAGACATCTTTGTGGTGTTCCTATCAGAGAAACACTGACAAAGAGACAGCTACAGCAGTTCAGTTGAAATAATGTCAAATTCAATCAATAATCAGAGAATCATATGTATGTAATTTCTGAATGACAATACATTTTATTTCATAGCATAATCAATAGTTAATGTTTATTTTGTTATTTGAAACCGTTTATATTGTATTAAGTAAAATGTTTCGTTTATATAATCATATTGTAAGCTGATAAGTATAATAATAATAATAATATTGTATGAAAAGAGGTAAAACAATGTAGATGTGATTTGATTATCAATTTTTATATCTGTTACACCTGTTTAACAGTTAGTTAAGGTCTTTCCATTGTGGTTTATCAGATTACCATGTCTGTGTTACCAACGGAGTGTGATATTTACTCTTTGGAGAGGTCTGATAACCAGTGTGATGTGGAGAAAGGTCGAGTCCTTAGATGACCATGCAGTCACCCTGTCCAAACAGCCCCAGGAAGACGTGTGTGTTTCTGCCCTCAGGTCAGATCGAGTGGAGGTTAGCTAGTCTAGCTCTGGCCAGTGGCCTGTGGCTGTCCCCATCCACACTGTCACACTTTTACACCTTGTCAACAATGCACACACACACACACACACACACACACACACACACACACACAGCACAAATGCCTCACACCACTAGTTCCACTAGAAGTCTGACATACAGTACACTATATATACAAATTAGTGGTTTGGCTATTTCAGCCACACCTGTTGCTGACAGGTATATAGCATCGTGCACACAGCCATGCAATCTCCGTAGACAAACATTGGAAGTAGAATGGCCTTACTGAAGAGCTCAGTGACTTTCAACGTGGCACCGTCATAGGATGCCACCTTTCCAACAAGTCAGTTTGTCAAATTTCTGCCTTGCTAGAGCTGCCCCGGTCAACTGTAAGTGATGTTATTGTGAAGTGGAAACGTCTAGGAGCAACAACAGCTCAGCCAGGAAGTGGTAGGCCACACAAGCTCACAGAACGGGACCACCGAGTGCTGAAGAGCGTAGAGCCTACAAATCGTCTGTTCTCGGTTGCAACACTCACTACCGAGTTCCAAACTGCCTCTGGAAGCAACATCAGCACAAGAACTGTTCCTCTGGAAGCAACGTCAGCACAATAATTGTTTGTCGGGAGCTTCATGAAATTGATTTCCATGGCCAAGCAGCCGCACACAAGCCTAAGATCACCATGTGCAATGCCAAGCATCAACTGGAGTGCAAAGCTCGCCACCATTGGATTCTGGAGCAGTGGAAATGCATTCTCTGGAGTGATGAACCACGCTTCACCATCTGGCAGTCCGACAGACGAATTTGGGTTGGGCGGATGCCATGAGAACGCTACCTACCCCAAGGCATAGTGCCAACTGTAAAGTTTGGTGGAGGAGTAAAAATGGTCTGGGGATGTTTTTCATGGTTCGGGCTAGGCCCCTTAGTTCCAGTGAAGGGAAATCTTAACGCAACAGCATACAATGACATTCCAAATGATTCTGTTCTTCCAACTTTGTGACAACAGTTTGGGGAAGGCCCTTTCCTGTTTCAGCATGACAATGCCCCCGTGCACAAAGCGAGGTCCATACAGAAATGGTTTGTCGAGATCGATGTGGAGGAACTTGACTGGCCTGCACAGAGCCCTGACCTCAACCCCATCGAACACCTTTGGGATGAATTGGAATGCTGACTGCGAGCCAGGCGTAATCGCCCAACATCAGTGCCCGACCTCACTAATGCTCTTGTGGCTGAAACAAGTCCCCGCAGCAATGTTCAACATCTAGTGGAAAGCCTTCCCAGAAGAGTGGAGGTTGTTATAGCAGCAAAGGGTAGACCAACTCCATATTAATGCCCATGATTTTGGAATGAGGTCTTCGACAAGCAGGTGTCCACATACTTTTGATCATGTAGTGTATGTACAGGCCTGTGTGAGAGCATGGTGCTGGAGTTTGGAAAGCACCCCACCCTGTGGAATAAAATGCACACTGCAACTGCTGAACATTCACCATACCAATTCTACCACCAAGAGAAAGGCAGACAGAGAAAGAGAGAGAGAGAGAGAGAGAGAGAGAGAGAGAGAGAGAGAGAGAGAGAGAGAGAGAGAGAGAGAGAGAGAGAGAGAGAGAGAGAGAGAGAGAGAGAGAGAGAGAGAGAGAGAGAGAGGAGAGAGAGAGGAGAGAGAGAGGAGAGAGAGGGGGGGAGAGGGAGAGCTTGAGAGAGAGAAGGAGAGAGCGAAGAGAGAGGACAGAGAAAACACTGACAACTTGTCTCAGGATCTGGGCACCATTTGTGTGGTATCTGCTATTTATTTTTTATTTTTTTATTATTATTATTATTTATTTATTTATTTTTGGGGGTAGATCAGCTTAATATTGCAGATAGATTGTAACTTCCATCAATGTAATTGTCTGCATCACTTCCAATCCCCCATGTTTATATATATATATATATATATATATACAGTGAGGAGAACAAGTATTTGATACACTGCCGATTTTGCAGGTTTTCATACTTACAAAGCATGTAGAGGTCTGTAATTTTTATCATAGGTACACTTCAACTGTGAGAGACAGAATCTAAAACGAAAATCCAGAAAATCACATTGTATGATTTTTAAGTAATTAATTTGCATTTTATTGCATGACATAAGTATTTGATCACCTACCAACCAGTAAGAATTCCGGCTCTCACAGACCTGTTAGTTTTTCTTTAAGAAGCCCTCCTGTTCTCCACTCATTACCTGTATTAACTGCACCTGTTTGAACTCGTTACCTGTATAAAAGACACCTGTCCACACACTCAATCAAACAGACTCCAACCTCTCCACAATGGCCAAGAACAGAGAGCTGTGTAAGGACATGAGGGATAAAATTGTAGACCTGCACAAGGCTGGGATGGGCTACAGGACAATAGGCAAGCAGCTTGGTGAGAAGGCAACAACTGTTGGCGCAATTATTAGAAAATGGAAGAAGTTCAAGATGACGGTCAATCATCCTCGGTCTGGGGCTCCATGCAAGATCTCACCTCGTGGGGCATCAATGATCATGAGGAAGGTGAGGGATCAGCCCAGAACTACACGGCAGGACCTGGTCAATGACCTGAAGAGAGCTGGGACCACAGTCTCAAAGAAAACCATTAGTAACACACTACGCCATCATGGATTAAAATCCTGCAGCGCACGCAAGGTCCCCCTGCTCAAGCCAGCGCATGTCCAGGCCCGTCTGAAGTTTTCCAATGACCATCTGGATGATCCAGAGGAGGAATGGGAGAAGGTCATGTGGTCTGATGAGACAAATATATAGCTTTTTGGTCTAAACTCTACTCGCCGTGTTTGGAGGAAGAAAAAGGATGAGTACAACCCCAAGAACACCATCCCAACCGTGAACCATGGAGGTGGAAACATCATTCTTTGGGGATGCTTTTCTGCAAAGGGGACAGGACGACTGCACCGTATTGAGGGGAGGATGGATGGGGCCAGGTATCGCGAGATCTTGGCCAACAACCTCCTTCCCTCAGTAAGAGCATTGAAGATGGGTCGTGGCTGGGTCTTCCAGCATGACCACGACCCGAAACACACAGCCAGGGCAACTAAGGAGTGGCTCCGTAAGAAGCATCTCAAGGTCCTGGAGTGGCCTAGCCAGTTTCCAGACCTGAACCCAATAGAAAATCTTTTGAGGGAGCTGAAAGTCCGTATTGCCCAGCGACAGCCCCGAAACCTGAAGGTCTGTATGGAGGAGTGGGTCAAAATCCCTGCTGCAGTGTGTGCAAACCTGGTCAAGACCTACAGGAAACGTATGATCTCTGTAATTGCAAACAAAGGTTTCTGTACCAAATATTAAGTTCTGCTTTTCTGATGTATCAAATACTTATGTCATGCAATAAAATGCACATTAATTACTTAAAAATCATACAATGTGATTTTCTGGATTTTTGTTTTAGATTCCGTCTCTCACAGTTGAAGTGTACCTATGATAAAAATTACAGACCTCTACATGCTTTGTAAGTAGGAAAACCTGCAAAATCGGCAGTGTATCAAATACTTGTTCTCCCCACTGTATATATGTATATATACAGTGGGGGAAAAAAAGTATTTAGTCAGCCACCAATTGTGCAAGTTCTCCCACTTAAAAAGATGAGAGAGGCCTGTAATTTTCATCATATGTACACGTCAACTATGACAGACAAATTGAGAGAAAACCCCCCCAGAAAATCACATTGAAGGATTTTTTATGAATTTATTTGCAAATTATGGGAA